CCCCCAAAACCCCAAAACCCCAAAACCCCTTCTTGAGTATTAAAAGTTGATAAATTACACCCTTAATGTTATATGATCTAGGATCTCTTTGTTAATACCAATAGCTTTTAGGGAAATCCTACAGAGTTAAGAATGCGAACTTACTGCTCTTGTTTGGACATATCAATGGACATCTCCCATACATGATTCTTTGCCTCATATTTTGCTATAAACCCATTATCTTTGATCTTTCAGGGATTATCAAGAGCACCCCATGATCCATCACCAATATAAAGAATTCCTTCAGGATCAAGTGTGTTATTCCTGAGCCTAAATGTTCGCTTAAGGCTGTGGTTATGATTCTCAAAAGCAATGGTGACATTATACTTATCAAAAAGAGGGATCCAATACTTCTGCCCCATCTTTTGTATCTCATCAGTTGCATATGCTCAAGCCGGGTAAAAGGGTTCGTGGTAATGTACAAGTTTTATTGGGTAATCCTGAAATTTTTTCAAAATCCCCTCTAGCCACTCCGTTTGGCCCCCATACAGAGTAGTGTCATAGCCAGAATCTAGAGAGACTATTAAGACTGTTGTCCCTATTGTATGGTAGAAGTAGCTCTTTCTCTCTCGAAGAGGAGGTACATTTCCTTCAAAAGAACTCTGGGTGTAATAATGTTTGTACAAAGGCTCATATTTATCATGAAGAATTGAAATATTCTGGTTAGAATCTACTCCAAAATCATGATTTCCAGGAGCCTTGATCATTGGAATTAGGTTAATATATCCAGTCTCAAGGTCCTTCCTTGCGTGTGGAATTTCATGGAGTATCCTATCAGTTGCTCTATATCATTGAGGTATATTATTGTCATATGAGATATCACCTCCAATCATTATGAGCTCCCCTTGGTGTCCTTCTAAACCAATTTTATTCATGTCTCGTGCTTCGGGATTGATCCCAATGTCCCCTCCATTCAGAAGCACAAATTTCTGTGGGTTTAGAGTCTTAAAGGAAAATTGGGCTGAGCTCTGATCAGCATTTTCATCTGTGATGGAAAATATGTATCTAGTGTTTTCTTTAAGATCTTTCAAATAAGCAGTGAAGATAACTCTACTTTCATATTCTGAAGGAAGTGAAGAATATTCAGATAAAATTGGGATCACAGTCTTCCAAGAGATGTTCAAGTCTAGAGCTTTAAGAGTGAACACCTACCTTTGTTTTCAAACTCAGTATATTTTAATACAGGCTTTCAATCCCTATGGTTTTGAGTGGATTGCCTTACCAATCTCTTCATGATAGATGATTAATATGAAAGTTTATAAACATCTCGTTCACAGAGTTCTCTGGCAAGGTCATGTATGTCAAACAGGGGTAAGAACTAGCAGATCACGTTGATAGATACCTACTCCTCATAAAAGCAGTGGATATGGCAAACCTTCCTATATTGAATCCTTCTAACAGAGGAGAATGAGAAGCAAGTCACACCCCTGAGGAGAATGTAGTCACCGAAGTTGTGAATCCCAAAAAAATTAATGCAAGAGCTCCAAAACACATAAACTTATGATGGGAAAGAATATGATAACTCTTCTGATACTTTCTTCATCCAAAAATCACTCTCAAATAAACCAAAAAGATTAGTGCGATCCATAATAAGTATTTGAAAAACATGAATGTTCTGGTCTGATGGATATAGCCATACATCACTAGTAAATCTAAGATTCCTAAAATAGAGAAAACTGTTAATATTTCCATAACGAAAATAGCAATAGAGAGGGTATAAAAGGACCAAGAATTGCTCATCGTCAGTGATATATCTAGCTTTTCATACCCAGGCTGTTGTCTAAATCGAGGAAATGAGGAATCCTGGCCAATTTGCTCCATTTCGTGCATATTTTCATCATCAGAGCCAGCTCCTGGGCTATCTGGCTTCCTTTCAGCCAAATTTTTTCTCCTCTGTGTAGATCTTAACTTGATCCACTGAACAAGATGCAGTGCAATTGTTGGGACCAGAAAACAGCATATAGTGATCCCTAAAATCACGAAATTCGCAAAGAAGGAGAATCCCTTGTAGGTATAGGTCTTTTGATATGGCGGAAAGAAGCTCTCAAACATTTTTATACTATAAATTTTCTAGATTTGAGATGATTCAGGGGTTTTGGGGTTTTGGGGTTTTGGGGTTTTGGGG